CTCTTCATTATACACTGCTTGCTCCTCGATTAAATCAACAATACCCTATAAAAACCAAAACTACGTTCATTTGCCTACGAAAAACAGTCGATTCATAAATTGGTAGTTGCCAAAATGATTACCAACTTTCAACTTGAAATGCTCTCAAAAAATGCGTGAACAGATGGAAAACTATGGAGTTTGATTAATGCGTGCGCAATAGTGATTCTGAATTGGTTCGGAAAGCATGCACTCTTTTTAACGATACGAACGAACATATAAAGACACAAACTTTAAAAGATGAATCTTTTCCAATTGGCATTTGAATTAAAGCTGCGTTATGATTGAGTTTCTTTCGTAAACCATCAAGTGCTCTGAAATGATTTTTTAATCCACATAAAATAAAATGAGAGATTCACTTTGAGATGGCTTCTGATAAATTGTAAACACCTTATCACAGTATTGAAGTTTGTAATGATCTCATCTGAAGTGATTGTCCGTACAGGTAACATGTTAATAATAATAATCATCTATCAATTTAACGTTGCTTTTCAAGTTTACGTAATCTTTATAACATCCTATCATGTTTGAAGAAAAGGACTATTCGATAAGTAAGGATAAAAAGAATATGCAAACTGAAATACACAAGACCATACCTCAATGGAGTAGCACCAGTTCTATCGAGTTTATTAACGAATGTGATAAAAGGAACGTTATATCGCGAAAGTTGTCGATTAACGGTGAATGTCTGACTCTGCACACCGCCAACGCCACATAGGACTAGAACAGCGCCATCCAAGACACGTAATGCCCTCTCAACTTCCACCGTAAAATCAACGTGACCTGACCGATTGATCTCATAATCATCATTTCACTTTTATGAATACACTTTCCGAATAAAAAAACAGAGTACTTTCATACAGTATACAGTATGAACAAAACAAACCTGGTGTATCAATAATATTAATATTCGTTCCATGCCAATCCACATAGGTGGCCGCCGACTGGATTGTAATACCACGTTGCTTTTCCAGTTCCATGAAGTCCATTGTAGCACCTACTTCATCCTTTCCACGAACCTAATCGAGAACGACTTTTGGAAAACATGACAGAATGAATACTTTAGCTTACGGGATAAAAAAGCATTTCAACAGTCAAACTGCGTAATCTGATATAAAATGACAGAATAATTTCGATACATGAAGTGCGTAAGAAACTTCGTGAATAGATGAAGTATCAATAAGACATCCCTGCACATGATTTATATCTGATACTTTATCCACATAGGACTAGAACAGCGCCATCCAAGACACGTAATGCCCTCTCAACTTCCACCGTAAAATCAACGTGACCTGACCGATTGATCTCATAATCATCATTTCACTTTTATGAATACACTTTCCGAATAAAAAAACAGAGTACTTTCATACAGTATACAGTATGAACAAAACAAACCTGGTGTGTCAATAATATTAATATTCGTTCCGTGCCAATCCACATAGGTGGCCGCCGATTGGATTGTAATACCACGTTGCTTTTCCAGTTCCATGAAGTCCATTGTAGCACCTACTTCATCCTTTCCACGAACCTAATCGAGAACGACTTTTGGAAAACATGACAGAATGAATACTTTAGCTTACGGGATAAAAAAGCATTTCAACAGTCAAACTGCGTAATCTAATATAAATTGACAGAATAATTTCGATACATGAAGTGCGTAAGAAACCTTG